CTCTCCCCCCTCTCCCCCTCTCTTTCTCTCTCTTTCTTTCTCTCTCTTTCTCTCTCTCTCTCTCTCTCTCTCTATCTCTCTCAATGGCTTGCTTTTCCCCAGCATTTAATGACCACATATTATTATCGTGGTTGATATAATCTCAAACACGTGCCTATACGTGCTTGTCAGTCTTGCTGCTCCTTCGTCTTTCGATCCTTCTATCTGTCTCTCCATTGTTTTTTTCTGTGTCTTCCTGTCTGCCGTCTCCTTTCTTCCCTTTGTATCATGTCTAATGTCTGTCGACTGACCTTCCTGCCCCTTAGTTGGTTTACGGGTGCCCTGGTGTGGTTTGCTCCTTCTTTCCTATCAAACATTTTTGCTCCTCATCTCTCCTCCTTTTATGTATTTGTTACTCTCTTGAACACCTCTAATCTTCTGCACCTACATGACATAATTGTGTTGCCAGTGCCGAAAAACGCTCACTAAAGCAAAACAATTCGGGTGGTTTGAGGGCACCAATTGTAGGTCTTACATCTTTCTTTCCGTCTGTTGTTTCTGTCTATCGTTCTTGCTTCCTTCCCTGCACTATTATGACCGTTATTGTGTCCATGTGCTTCTCTTTACTCCAACTCGAACTGTCCCTGCTTGCGCTTCCAGTCAGGTGGGTGGAGGGCGCCATTGGCTCCTTTCAATTTTGTTTCATTCTGACTATTGCTCATGAGTTTTCCCCTTTTTAAAAAAACACATGGCATTTTCAATGTGCATCTTTTTTTCTTTCTCTCTCCAAAACTCAAATGCCAGTCTGCTTACAGTTCGACATAATAAAATATCTTATATTTCACGAGGTACATGTATGTCTGTTTCCTGTAAGCCTGTCTGCCAGTTTTATTATCCTTCTGTCTCTCCCACCACTCTTTCTGCCCCTCTCTCTCGTCGGTGTGTCTGTCGCCCCATGCACTATGCATGTCTCGTGCTAACATATTATCCCATATAATCACACACAGGTGGAGGCTTGAGGGGAAAATGACAAAGCTTTTTCCTCACGACGTGGCTCTTTGTTATGGTTAATAAAAGTTATGACCACGCACAAGTCGTTCTTAATACGTTCGCGTTGCATTTTCCTCCCCTTTTTGCGCCGATTGTGCGCCTGACGCATTGGGTTACCACAGGGCCAGCTCCGAGAGGAAGGTCCTTTATAGCAGTAAAAATATGAGAGGGAAGAATGCTGTCTTGTTTCATGGTGCAGTTTTTTGCGCTTTGGTCTGTTGTCTTCTTGCCCACTGCCACCCTCCTCTCCTCCCCCCCCCCTTTTTTTCTTCTCTCTGTCACTTTCTGTGACTCCCACCCACGCGCACACACACGGTCACGACCACATTAAAATATTACTTTGTTGACTTCAGCTTGCCTGCCTGTCTGCCTGCCTGCCTGCCTGCCTGCCTGCCTGTCTGTCTGTCTGTCTGTGAACGTTACTTTGTCTTACTTTTTGTCTGTCTTTTTGTCTATCTGTTAATGTTACTGTGTCCGTCCGTCCGTCCGTCCGTCTGTCCGCCCGTCCGTCTGTCAGTCCACACAAAATCATCTTCATTCGTTTTGTGTACAGAGTGGAGGTCGATCCATGCGTTCACGTTATCAATGTTTATGCACAAATGACTCGGGGGCGTGGAGGCGAAACGACAACACACGTTATCACGTGACATTAACGTCTGCCTCTGGAGTTCGTCAACAGTGAGTCGGTGGTTGGAGGGCGCCACTGGTTGATCCTACTACTTTTTCCCCCCTCCGTTATTTCTGTATATTTGTCGTGCTTCTTCTGCGCACGAAATGATCGTTAGGCCTATTGTGTTTTTGTATTTCTCTTTTCCCAAACGCAACCGACCGCAACCCACAATCCCACACAAACTCAAAAGCCTTGTTTCTGTCCATCATACTTCAATTTTGGCATTCTTCTGCCGTGTTTATTACATAGCAACGTTGTTGGTTGGACGGCGCCACTTGTTGGTCCTGCTTCTTTTTTTCCTCTTTTTTATTTCTGCCAGTTTGTTTCACCTTCCTCGTGTATTAAAACTCAGATCTCCAAACAAACAGTATTGTAGTTACTTGACTCCCGAGATGGAGCGTATGGAACATCTTGTTCCACAGTTCCAACAGACAAAGATATCTCTTATCAAGAACACAAGACAAGCGATGATGCGCGGACAGCTATAGGAAATAAAGTGGATAATAGGAACCACTATTGGCTTCTGTCAGAAGGAGCAATCTTGCCTGGTTCCTGGCATGAAAGCCTTTCCAATACCATCACTCGGAGAACTGTTGATGGCAGTCGAAAAAGAGGACGAACAAAGAAAAATGCTGGTCCGATACCATTGAAGAATGGACTGGTTTGTCGGCAAGAGAAACCTTTCGACGACTGGCGTCTGTGGTGTAGCCGTTTGGCGCTTCGCAGTCGCAGGCAGGAGACCTGAGTTGGATTCACTGAGAGGGGAAAAGACCTTCGTGTTTGCATCCCTCTCAGCTCCTGGTCGTCCTGACAGGAATGGTCTGAAGCCCGTTTCCTAAATGATCTAAATGGTGCTGGCGGTGGTGTAAAAGCACTTACATTTTTTTTTTAAATCCTCGACGGGACGACAGGCAGAGAGACATGTAGGGAAATCTTGACCTGTTCTGCGCTCAGTTCCTCCCGATGAAGCACGTCGAGTGAGTGAGTGACTAGCAGACTTTGTGATCTGGACTGGCATTGGTAATTATTTTTAGTGTAGTCTTCTCCTTATGGGCCAGCTGTGAACTCGTTGGCATTTTCCTCTGTATTTAAAGGAGTCTGTTTGCTCTGTCTTGGTCTACTCATCCTACTTATGTTCAGTAATTGTATTGTCCTACGCTTTTCTTTGACAACCATGGCCGCTATTATCCATCCATCCATCCATCCATCCATCCATCCATCCATCCATCCATCCATCCATCCATCCATCCATCCATCCATCCATCTATCTATCTTTCAGGC